GTTTCTAATGATTATTTTCTGAGGTCGTAAAGGTGTAAAGTTACCAGTTCTGGAAGTGAACATGCTGCTTCATCGTTCATGTTGTTAATTCTGTCTTAAATACGACTCAATTCTGAGAGCGGCCTCAGAGTTCGTCTTCAGATTAAGAATAAACGTCCACCAGCTGATGGCACACAGAGGAAACACAGAGAACAGCAAACAAACATCTGTTTTCTACATAAACACGATATAAACCAGAGGTTCTTCTTCTTCTTCCACTACCAACTGATCAAAACTCACAAATAAAATGAGGGAAAAAAGCCGAAGTGACAAAGAAATAAAGTAGGTTGTGAGGAGAGTTCGTGGTGATTTTCAAGTGTAACTATATTTTAACTTTGTGTGAATTCTTGAACACATTTAGAGATAAATATTACCATAAACAATATATATTATTATTAATAATATATTATTATTATATAAGCAGAGAACGGCCGATAGAAACCACAAAACAAACAGGTCATCAAGTCCCCCGACACTGTGAATGCAATAAAATGAATGTACATAAACCACAGCTATAAACGTTCAGTAATTATTATAATGGAAATACTTTATAAATCACTGCCAGTTTCTCTGAAACACAGAACACTGATTCATATTGGTGTTGAGACGACGTCGACTTTATTAAATAGAAACAGTTCTGTATGTTTTATTCATTAAAAAGTCCTCTTTCTTTCTTTCTTTCTTTCTTTCTTCTTGTCTTTTAGTTGTACGTCACAGTCAATGATGAAGATCATTAGAGGTGGTTGACAGCTCAAAAAGAAAGTGGACATTAAGTGTGACTGTGTCATTGTGTCACACATACTGATCCCAAGGGAAATTAACTTTTGTGTTTTGTATTTTCTGTAAATAATATAAATAAAGTCTCATCTAACACGTCTGATGTTACCATGCCAGTAATTAATATAATGGACAAATACAGCTTAACTATTAATCAGTTAACTGGTCGATCAACAGAAGCAACGATCACAAAAAAGGTTAAATATTCTCTGTTTTTAACTATTAAAATGTTTAATGTAAATCTAATAATAACTGTGTAATGTAGTTAACGCTTTTCTTTGTCACATGTGACGGTAAGTTTAAATCTTTATTAAATTATTATTAAATTAACAGAGAAAACAGCAGGCAGATTAATCAATAATGGATAAAACTTCCTTGCAGGCCTGTTTTGAAGTGATGGTCAAATAAAGCAACTTCAGTATTTCGCCTTGAAATTATAAACGCACAGTTTCCCTCTGCTTTTGACGTTTTATAGACAAAATGATTGAATCAATAAATAAAAAACGTTAGCAGTTAAAGTGTAAAAACAGCAGCAGAAGTCACGGGGGGGGTTTTGATGAGGGGAAACTCACTTTATCTGTCCGTTCTCTGTATGAAAGTAATAATGTCCAGGCACCTTGTAAACACACGTTTTTGTACTTTTCCTTTTCCCCCCCCAATCTTTCTCCGGAGCTAGAAACTTCCCACTGCTGCGAGCTCACATCCTGACAAACCCTCGCTTTCCGTGCTCCAGACGCCGTCTACTCGGCGTGAACGCAGGAAAAACCTCCGAATGATCACTTCCTCTCTTTATGAATGGACTGACATCACTTTCTAATAACACGGCCGCCTGACTGAGTGACACATTATTACGCAACGTTTGAACGCCCCGACTCTGGGAGTTGTCCATCCTCCTCCGAGTGAAGTATTTCCAAGAGCTGCTGGAGATTTTTTTTAAAAGAAATAAAAGCGTGACGCGCGAAAGGAGAAAACGCCACAGGTTTGTAAAAGGGTCACACTCAAATAATGTAAAAATAAGAAGCTAATTTGCCTGACAAGAGGAGCTGAAGAGGTAAATCTGTTGGGATTTGCAGAAGGAAAGGTAAAGCAGAGAGGAGCTGTCCTCCTGTTCGAGCTGCTCTGCTTCACAGCAAGTGTCAAAAGCTGTTACGATCTTCTTTCCTCCCTCATGTTTTGATCTACATTTACCCACCACAAGACAGACTGACAAAAAAAAAAAAAACAGCAAAAGGCTGCCGGGCTGCCATCAGGGAGAGACTAATACTTTCTGAAAGCGTACAGTAACCTACATCTGGGAAGTCTCTGCACACATCAGACACTCCTCCTCCTCTCTCTCTCTCTCTCCTCTGGGTTTTAATACTACCTGAGGATGTAATGAAGTATCAAACCCTCCTGCTACAGGTAAAAAACCTGATCAGCACCAAGCTGGACACACAAAATACACTCGGGTGTCATCTTATCTGCCTTTCTCCTCACTAAGATGACAATCCAAGGTGGCACTGGGATGGGCCCCACCTCTTCATAAATCCACCTCCTTGGAGCTTTTGCTAAAAAAAAACAAAACAAACAACAACAAAATGATGAGGCAAATGCACAACGCCAGCAACCAAAACCTCCAAACTCTCAGGAGCAGACAGATGACCATTAGCGGGGATTATGCAACCATAAGTGGCTGCTGCCTGCAGGCCAAACACAGCCTCAGATGGTAAATATTATTCACAGGTAGCCCGGGTAAACACATGGAGACTCCTCCGTGTTATTTAAACGCAGTGGGTTAAACGCTGAGCAGCTACAGACATCAGCTGAGGGTTTGTTTGCACCAGGACGGGGGGGGGGGGGGGTTTAGTGCATTAGCTGGGGCTGCTAGCGTAGGATTTTACCGTCCACAACCACCACTTAAAGAATAAATATAAATAACACACCGGTGTGAAAGGCCGGGAGTGAGTTACCACGCACAAAATAAATCACCAAGTCGATTGAAGGAGGGGTTAAAAGAAGCCATCGGACACTCAGTGATACCGCTGTGTAATAGCAGCATGAGGTATGGAGGAGCTAGTGTTTGCTCCAAAGGTTCAGCGGGTAGTCGTGCGCGGAGTGACGGCAGCGACGTGCTCCTCTGACGGACACTCACACCGCCGCTGACTCGGTGGAGCTCCGGGGAAGCTAACGGACAGTTTTTTTTTTTTTTTTTTTTTAAACGGTTATAAAAAAAGGGATTTAAAATAATAATAATAAAAAAAAAACCTTCCTTTATTGTTTTAACTCTTTTCTTCTGGTCAGTATCTAGTATATTAACGCCTAAACGTTATAACGCGTTGTGTAATTGACGTTAAATAGTGTTACGGTAACACCACCTTCTCTCTCTCTCTCTCTCCGTTAAAAACACAACCGTTATAAAACCAACCGTTAAAAAAACCAACCGTTAAAAAAACCAACCG